GGGGGGGGGGGGGGGGATGTTGCAATTTAACAAGGGTGATGGGAATGGCTGTTTTTGAACAAAAACGAAAAGAGGGAGGGAACCATGCTAGCATGTGAATGAAAAAAAAATGCAGCTGCAAAACAATTTGCATGCAATGGCCTATTATTTTTAAAGCAATCCTCCCAAAACTACTATAAAATCTATACCTGTGTATATATTTTATCTACAGATCTGGAAGTTTGGGAAGACATTCATCAAACTATTAAGGCCAGATGGCAAATGTTTTCAGCTTTCTGGACCTTCCAGGTGTTGTGGCAACAATCCAGAATGAGCGAGCTGTGTTCCAATAAAGCTTTATTTATAGACACCGATATTTAAATTTAATACAATTTTCACGTGTCACAAAAATCTTTCGACTTTTTGCCCAACCATTTAAAAATGTAAAAGCCATTCTTAGCTCGCAGGCTATATGTACAGACACAGACAGTGGCACAGGTTTGCAGACCCTGTTCTCGAAAGAGGAATCAAGGGTGCAGGAGGAGGGGGAACCATTTGGTTTTCTCTCCCTCTCTCTCTATATATATCATCCCTGTACTCTTTGATTTTGTTACCATAGCATGCACTACTTTGAAAATGTTTCATATTTAAAAATTATGCTTGCACAGAATTTTAGAAGGACGTATGAAATGCTTACAACAGGTTAAGTGGCAAGATGCTTCCTATACATAAATGTATGATGTGATAACCCTATTTGAAAAGTTTATAGCAAAATGACTCAAAGAAGTACAAAATCCTCAAGTAGTAAGATTATGCACAATTACTTTTGTTTTTCATAATCTTCTATTTTTCCTTCATGGCAAGTATTACTCTTATAATCGGGGAGAAAAAAGGAAGAAACATTGTCCTCCTGATGCACCCCAACTTCCACCAATTACTCTTATTTTTAAAAAAGCACAGGAACTATTTCCTATTATGTTAGGGTGCTGTGGCAATTTTCCCACTCCAAACCTCCACCCCGGAGCCCATGGCCACCTTGGCCCAGGAGGAAGGGCAAGTGCTCAGTCACAGGAGGTCTTGGGGTAGGGTTTCCCTCTGGGAAGCCAGCCCTGAGACTTAATTGGGAAGAGAAGCCTCCTTTGGCCAGTGAAAGCAAGGAATTCAAGTTAGTGCCAAGGACTGATCCCTACAAAGACAAGTGCAAGATAGCTGTCTTAGGAAGGCTTCTAAGGAAAACATGAGAAACATGTTCTTAAAGTCCAAGGAAAAACAAAAAAAGGCCTGGGAAGCAAAGGGTACACATTCCAACTTAACCAAAGAGACAGCCAGCACCCACGCCCTGCCCATTCAGCAGGTACCTTGTTCTTCAGCATCCCCTTGGGGCCAATCACATTTTCAAAGATGTGTCTTCCCACGTGAGCATCTACCGCAGACAGGGGATCGTCAAAGAGGTAGATGTCAGAGTTGTAGTACACAGCCCGGGCCAGGCTCACGCGCTGCTTCTGGCCCCCAGACAGGTTGACGCCCTGGAGAGAGAGACAGCAGAAGGGTGGGCATCCTAGGAAACCTCAAGTCTGAAGAAATGTGGCAGAGCCAACCGAGAGGGTGACCTGCTCAGGTGCAGTAGACCCAGGCCAGAGGCCCTGCAGGGCTGTACCTGCCTCCGCCTGGCATGAGATTGCAACTGCACAAGCATGGGTTCAAGTCCTGGCACCACCAGTACCAAGGATGTGACATGGGCACAGGGTGTAGCCCCATCTATAAAATGGGCAAAAGAGAAAATCTGAGCCTGTGAGTTGCTGGGTAGGGTGCTCGGCACATAGTGGGCACTCAGCAAAGGGTGGCTGGATGCACCGAATAATGCTGGTTAAAGGAAAGTCTCCTGATAATTCAGTTTCATGGTGGACACCAGTGGATGTGGTGACAGTATTACTGTTGCTGCTCAGATATTGTTCACAACTAACCTTTTCTGCACGATTGCTCTGGATCAATCATTCACTGGTGAGGCCACGTGCAGTCAAGGCAGGCTGTACCCAGGAGATACTGAAATCTAGCCTGTATCCCGCTCACGGGGAAGAAGGGCACTGCGTGGACCAGCAGCAGCCCCCGCCCTCCCATGACAGATAACCCACTGCCATTTCCACATCTGCTGGGGAATCACGGTGGACACCCGCTGGGTTAACTGCCCAGCCCCGCTCCTGAGAGATGCCCCCCCCTTCCCTGCACTGAAGTGGGGTCCTGGAAGCCAGGGTCCTTTGGTTGGTCCCTCTGCCACAGGTTACTGGCCCAGGGGCAGACATGGGACCCAAGCTAAGGCAGTCATATTCTCTCCCTCCAGATTTCAGTACTGGGACCTAGACAGGAAAAAAAGTATGAAGTCGATGTGCCAACAAGAAGAGACAAAGACCGGGACCCAGGCTGCCTGTCCCAGGCCCTTCCTGAGCCCCCACTACACTCCAGCCCTGGATTCCACATGATTCACCCGTATCCTTAAACTCAGCTCCTATTTTCTTGCTTACACTTGCTCAAGCTCCTTTGTAATCCCAAATCCCCCTGCTAATAATTTCTTTTTTCTTTCCAAGGAGCTGAAGATTTACCTCAACTAAAAGAAACCATTCACCAAATGAGAAAGCTGGTGGAGACACTGGCTTGTAACTAAAGTCAGAGATGGGCGAGCTCTTTGCACTTGTGGTCTTCCACGAGGCCAGGCGCTGCTCTGCAGCATCTGCACTCCCTGAGCATACACCAGACAACCACCAGGGGGTGCCAGGCGAGTAGCACCTGGAAGAGCACCCCAGGCCAGGTAAGGCACCTGCAAAGGCCTGGAGGTAGCAAGGAGCTGGGGGTTGTTGAGAAAGGGTGAGGGGGGCTGGAGTGGTAAGAGGAACAGAGAATGGCCCTCCTTGGAGGTGACAAAACGTAGCACGTAAGAACATGGATACAGGAGCGACCCTCTGTGGCTGTGCAGCCTCAGCAAATCACTTAACCTCTCTGTGCCTCCCTTTCCTCAACCACTGAATGGCGTTCACAACAAAACCCATCTCATGGGCTTACTGTGAGGATCAGATACACATAACATGTTTTGCATAGTACCTAGCACATAGAAAATGCTAAGTTCAGCTATTGTGTTACTATTTTTATTTTATCACTGTTTTGAAAGGGACCATGGACATTTGAATCATCTACATCCTTCCTCCCTATATCATGCCCCTTGTCATGTGACTTTTTCAAAAGTAGAGTATACTTCCTGGTCCCTTGCCTTTGGGCTCAGCCTAGGGTCTTGGTTTGTGTGTGGAAGAAAGAGTGTGCTTTAAGGGACATAACGTACTTTTTTTTCCTCCCAGCTCTCTTTGGCTTCTGCTGTCACTATAAGAGGTCCCCCTTGGGCAGCTGCCTGTAGCCATGCTTGGCTGGCCTGCAGCGTGCAGCAGAGCCTCCTGGCTCAGCCCAGCCAACAGCAGGCAACTCACAGACCACAAGCAGGAGAGTAAGCCTTTAACTCTGTAAGCCACTGAAATTTTGTGATGGTTTGTTAAGTGGCAATAGTTGACTGGTCCAGGGGCCAAGGCTGAAACTGTACTGACCTTCTCACCAATCTCTGTCCGGTCCCCGTTAGGAAGGATTTCCAGGTCTGGGAGGAGGGCACAGCCCTCTATCACGGCCTTGTAATACTGTTCTTGCAGCTGGCGTCCAAAAAGGATGTTTTCTCGGAGAGAATCATTCTGAATCCAGGCTTGCTGGGGCACGTATGCCACTGAGCCCTATGTGGCCAATGGAGAAGGAAGTCAGCCAGAGAGACTCGATGACTAAGACAGCAGACAGGCCACACACCTGCCAGGAGGGTCCTACTTCACAAGACATTTTAATCGCACCTATTGCTTCAACAAGAGGGAAACTCTTTGAGTCACAAAGGACTACAGATGCCAGAGCTGGGATAAGAAACCAAACGAGGTTGGCCACTGACTTCAATATCAGGTGTTAAAGAGCTGAAATCCTCATTGATGAAATTACAGTTAGGTATTTAATAACTATTTACTGAATGCCCATAGCAGCACACAAAACACCTGCTTCCAAAGAGTGGAAACCTCTGACATGACCAAAAAATCACCTGATTACAGTTGTGGTAGATGCTAAGAGAAAAATATATGAGACATAACTATTTACTGAATGCCCATAGCAGCACACAAAACACCTGCTTCCAAAGAGTGGAAACCTCTAACATGACCAAAAAATCACCTGATTACAGTTGTGGTAGATGCTAAGAGAAAAATATATGAGACCTTTAAAAAGTCTGACATCAGGACATCAGGAGATCAGGAGAAGGAAGGGTTCCTTCAGGAAACTTCCTGGATGAAATTTAAGGACTTGTTAAGCAGTCTGTTTCAAGGGCTGTTTTATTTCCATATCACGTAAGCTGTCCAGAAGAGCATGAGAATGAGGGCCAGGGCAAGGATATCTGTTTTGTGTATGTGTATAACAAAAATGTTGATGCTGTTAATAAAAATTTTTTAAACAAGGACCAAAAGGTGAGGAATAAGCCTTACAAATAGAAGAGATAGGAGCATTCAGGTCAGAGGGAACGGCATGTGCGAAGGCACATTCCAGGGACAGAAAGGCCAGTGTGACTGGAACATCAGTTGACCGTGTAAGAGGAAAGAACAGCCAGGACATGAGCTGGAGGGTGGCAGGGGCCGGCTCACACCAGGCCAGTGGTCATGCTGAGAAACATGGGCTTCATCAGCAGGGCAATGGGGAGCCACTGAAGGTTCTCAAATAAGGGAATCCTAGGGGGCCAAGACTGAGTGGAACCCAGGGGCCTCGACTCAATCTAAATTCTCAGATAACTAAACTGCTAACTAAAATCCTAATTTACAGGAGTCCAACATGTCACAAAACCTCACTGCAGAACCCACAGATAATTCAGACATGGCATGTACCAGCCACACTGGTTAAACATTTGGAAAAAAATAAAAACCTTAAACACATTTCTAGCACTCCCCTTACTAGGACAAAGCAACCAGTCACAAATTACCCAGCCCAAAATGCCAATATTGTTGGGATTGTGGAAAGCTGGGGTTAACAAAACAGAACACAATGTATCCTCCTGTGATTTATGATTTTCTTCCATTAACTTAGCTCACATTGCTCATTCATCTTACTTTATAACACGTCCTTGAAAGTAATGATAGTACATTTCTGAAAACAACAGCTAAATGTCATTAGTTTGGACTCAACCACTGTAATGTATACTTTTCTAATGGGTATCATATAATCAACAAAGAAAGGACGTTGCTCTTAAAAAAAAAAAAACAATAGTATAAACTAGCATTCCCAAAAGTGAATTCCAAGAGACAGTAGTTCTGGGGATATAAATAGCTGCCATACAGACAAAGAAGTACAGGCAAATACATCTGGGACACGCAGGTTTTGACAAAGTTAAATAGGTTTCTTCTCTTTGTAGGACTTCTCAGAGCCTTTACTTCATTAATGTTTATTATACATCTTGAAGAGGGAGGGAGACAGAGGGTGCAATCTATCCTAAGCTTGTTTGAGCCCGGGGCCCTTTATTCTCCAAACATCCCACAAGATGAATTTGCTGCAGACCACACTCCAGGAAATGCTGGTGTCAACAAAACTCCAAGGGAAGTATTCCTAACACCAGGAAAAGGCCATCACAGGGAATGAACTAAATGCAAGGAAGGCTCTTGATTTCCAGAGGGATTTGTTTGTTTACTAAAGCAGCCTCTTAAGCTCTCAGGGAATTTCAACTTCTGTCAAAGTATTCTGTATTTCAAAGCAATAAAACTACACTCTTGTCTTAGCCCCCTACTAAGAAGTTAATGAAAACTCAGAATTGAAACCATTCCTTTAAAACAAAAGCTCTAAGAAAATATTCCAACCACATAAATCAAAATCCTAAAGTTCTATTATAAGAAGAGATACACAGTGATCCTAAGGAGAAAGAACAAGCCAGAAAGACTTATGCATAAAGAAACCACAGAATGCACACGAGGGGCGCAGATGGAGAGAGAAGGGGAGACAGAGCGTACCAGGGAGTATTTTTGTGTTTAGTGTTTACTGAGTGCCTACTCTATGCTGGGCACTAGTCTAAGAGCTGGGATACAGCAGGGAGTAACTGATACCCAAATCCTGCCCTCTGGGATGCCACAGAGAACAGAAAGAACGAGAGAGAAAGAGAAGGAGACCTGCTGCTCTCACTTCATGCTCAGGGATGGTCACAAAAGAAACATACATCATTCTTGACCTTCCTCTGAGGTCACCAGCTTCCCCCAATGCCCCCCCCCAGCCCCAGTCCTTGTCCTACCTTGATAGCCACGTGCCCCTCCACCTTGTCCATCTCGGCCAAGAGGGCTGAAAGCAGGGATGACTTTCCACACCCCACCTGGCCCACCACGGCCACCAAGGCACCTTCCGGAACAGAGAAGGTAATGCTGAAATGACATGACATGCCCTGTCTCAGCTGTGCTTGCACCAGGACAACACCTGCTGAGCCAGTGCCACTGCCGACTCAAGCCTCAATTTACCCCAAGTGCAGAGAGGGAGACAGAAAGCAGGGCCATCACAAGCATTTAAGGTCCTGCAATTCCTTCCGCTGTTTCTACTGCTGAACTGAGCTCAGCTCAGTAAACTGCCTCAGGGGGCCTCCAGGTGTAGGCAGGTGACAGGCAACAGGTGCCAGGGAGAATGCATCACAGAGAATGGAGGCAGTGAGAGAGATCTGAGGGACTCATGTCACACTAGGAGAGCTGAATGGAGGGCTATTAACTTTACTGGGGGCATGATGCAGGACAAGAGAGAAAAGCTATCATTGAAGCAGGCAGGATTTAAGTTAGACATAAGGAAGGACTTCCTAAACATGCACTCCCACCATGAATTTTCAACAGGGTTTTTATATGGATTCTTTCCTCTGGAGAGTCTGCCCCCCACCTGATAAAATACAGCAGCTATTTGGCTACCCAGTTGGGAGATCGTTGTTTAGGGGCAAGGGCATAAATTTGGCCTCTAAAAGGTCACTTTGGCCCCGGGTTTAGGGATTCCTTAAGGAGGCCTAAAGGAGCCATTAAGCAAGGCCTCCAGTCAGAAAGAAATGAGACACTTGTCAAGTTACCCTGGGGACAAAGTCAATGCCCTGGGTGCTGTGTGTTTTACAAAGATAAGGGCTATGATGGGCAGGGGACCAGGTGGGGAGGTGATGAGAAAAGGAAAGCAGGGCAGCAGGGGGACCTTGGAGAGGACAGGGAAGAGCAATTCCATGCTGATGGGAAACACAGGGTCAGAACACCTCTCAGACAACCCAAGCCTGCCACAAGCACCACCGCCACCTTGGATCCTACCTGGCCAATCAGGGTACCCAGTCCCCCCAAGCACAGTGATTGGCTCAGAGAGGGGCATGTGACCCAATCTGGGCCAATAAGAGGCAGGCAGGCCTCTTGAAAGATAGGATGTACACCTGGAGCTGTTGGGGGCCATTTGCCATCAGGAGGGAAGAGGATGGCCGACAATGAAGCAGCACAGAGGGAAGTGGAACAAAGAGAAGACAGAGGGAGTTCTGATGACACTCAGCGCCTGGATCACACTGTACCTGAAAGTGGACCTTTTCAGTTATGCTAGCCAAAAATCTCCCTCTGTTACCTAAGACTAGCTGTGCAAGGTTTCTGTTACTTATACTTGCAGGGATCCCTCTGTGCTAGGCACCTTCTTATCTGCTCCTCAGGGCAGCTCAAGGAGGTGTGCCTGGACCTACTTTCCAGATGGGTAAACTGAGGCTCAGAAAGGAAAAGTGACCCCGTTCGAGGTCACAGAGCTGGAGCGTGGCTGGAATTCAAATCCATGTTTGACCAGAGCCCCGTGGTGCTCTGCACACCACCAGGTGTGTCCACATCCTGGCTTACCCATTCAGCGTGGGAGGGTCGCTCCTGGCCCATGTGAAAGTGGCGTTCTTCACAGTGATGCTGCTTGTCCCCCCACCTGAAAAGCACCAGACACAACACGTCAGGCACAGATGGAGTCACATGACTGAGTGTGAGCAGAGCACTCTTGCTTTTCCTTTTTTTTCTGATCAAGTAGTTTAGCCCCAGACGCGGGATACAGAGGGTGCTAGGCATTACCTGGTGACGTCAGCCATGGTTTCTAAAAGAAGAACCCCAACCTGCAGTTTTGGAGGTGGCCTCAAACCGAGAAAGCAGAAGGAAACCACAAGAGGGCTTGGCCTTGTAAGACAGGAGGTTTTACCATCCGGCCGCCCATCTCAGGAAACGGCTGCAGAGGTGGGGGACTCACGAGGGTTATTTGATGTTCCTAGGACTCCCTGGCCCCGTCTCAGGCAGGTTTGGTCAGCTCTGCCTGGGAGGCCTGAGCAGCAGCCAAGGTCAACAGGGAACAGGCAGTGTCCTCATGTGAAACTCTCTCCAACAGGATAGCCCTTGCCACACCCACGGGGCCCTCCTTCAAGTTCAAAGCTGGGACCTTTGCTTCTCCCCCACCCCTCCCTCCAGCCACAACATCCTGCACACAGCAGAGCAGGTCAATCCTTCTAAAAACACCCATCACAATAAATTCCAACAAAGCAGGATATAAAACAGGAAGTGTGATATTAAGGCCTGGGGGAGGGGAGTGTTTAAGACAAAGCCGACGTTATTAGGCTCCCAATGGGTAGAAGGCTCCCAGCATCTCTCTCTTCATTTACTGCTTTTCCTCTAACTTCATATCCCATACTCAAAAGAAAAAACTGTCTGTTAATTATGAGCCACCTTAAAACCACCTGGAGATGATATGGGGATATTTTTTCAAGTTGTCACATAAATAATTTCCCCCATACATCAAAGAAACTATAACCTGTGGCAAGAGAAAGTGACTGGTTAACCTAAATCAACCTTGTCCCTCAGCTCCCCCAAAAGAGAGTAAACGAGGAAAACCGAAAGGTGCTTTTTAAGAAATATAAGAGAAGCCATTTGAGTTGTCTACAGAGAGCTATAAGATTTGGGAGCCAGCAGCCGCCATTGTGGCCCCCTGTCTGGCACCCGTCCAGTGTGGAACACCGACTGGGAGACTGCCATTAGGGCAGGAAGGACAGGCTGAGGCCTGGGCAGCAGGTGGCCTGTTAACAACTTCAATAGCAAGAAACCGCCTCTGGCCACCTCAGATTTCAGTCCATGTTTTTGAAGAGAAATTTGACCCCACACAGTGGATGGCATTGTTCCCACATCGTGTGAGGGGACTTGGTCCTCAGGACAGCAGAAAACAGATTACTGCAGGCCAGGATGTCAGGAGGAAGATTCCAGCATCCACTTGGATGGTGGTTCTCAACTGGGGGTGACTGTGCCCCACATGGGACATCTGGCAATCTCTAGAGACAAATTTGGTTGTCAAAATTGGGGTGGGTGCTACTGCATCTAGTGAATAGATGCTGCTCAGTTCCTACAATGCACAGGACAGTCCCCAGCAACAAAGAAAGAATTGGCCCCAAATGTCAGTTGCACCCGGGATGAGAAACCCTGCCCTAGAGGGCTGAACTAGAGATAGAGATCACGTCTCACTCACACTAGAGACATCACCACCACCACGATCATTTAGCATCTTCTATGCACCAGGCACCAGGTCAGGTGTCTTACACACCCGGGATGAGAAACCCTGCCCTAGAGGGCTGAACTAGAGATAGAGATCACGTCTCACTCACACTAGAGAAATCACCACCACCACGATCATTTAGCATCTTCTATGCACCAGGCACCAGGTCAGGTGTCTTACACACCCACAACGACATCTGAAAGCCCACTAGGTTCCAGGCACTGCTTACACACGATAGCCAGCATATACACACATTCGGTCCTATGATGGTATATATTGGGCTCTGGAGTCAAGACTGTGGGAGTTCAAATTCCCGTGCTACCACTGCCAGGCTGGACAGTCACAGGCAAGTTACTGGA